TGTTGTATTGATATATGTAGTTGTTGGAAAAGTCCATAAGATCGATGGCAAAGAGTTTTTGATCTTAAATAATCATCACATAATTGTATAAAGTCTTTAACTATCTTTTATATTTGAAATCTCAAAAAATCTCTCAAGATTAATTCTACAGTTTTTGTATCTAAAATCTTAAATAGCTAAATAATTATAATGAACTTAAATGGCTTATAATTATACTTTATCTTCTAAAATATATAAAAGTACTTTCAAATAGAATATATTTTTTTGAATTAAAATTTAAAATTATTATAAGATTCAAAAGAATTATTTTTAATATTATAAATAATATAATTTTTGGACATATTTTATTGAACTTAATCAAGAAAGATTGAATCAATAATTAATGTTGATTTCATTACTCAAAGATAAAATTATTTAGACTTTAAAAAATAGATTATTATTAATCAAAATTTACATCTCTTTCTTTTGGTATAAGATAAGAACATCTAAAAAATACAAATGATATTTTTTTATTATTTTTATAATTGATAAATAATATTGAATACAAATATTGACAACAACATGTTCAAATGGGCTTGATAATAATTTAAAATGTTTGTTAATGTAAAGTACTTAAGATTCTTATGATCTATGTAAACAATCACTAAATTAGAAACATCTTCAATATAATGATATTATTTTAAAAAAGAATTATAAATTGCAAGAAGCACTTTGTCATAAGTCTTATAGTTGAACTCAGTTGCTAATTTTTTTATTAAATGAATAATTTTTTTATTAATTATATAGTAAAGTTTGTCATTAGCTTCCATTTTGACAATATTGTATCCAAAGCAAAGTCTTATGCCTCTGTTTTCATAAAAAAATACCTTAGAAAAAGTAATACAAGATTGAAGCAAAATTAAAAATTATCATTAAAGCTTCAAATGCTATTTCAACTTTTTCATTCTACTTAATTTTTTTTTATAAGTGAAATGTATAAGTGGTATTGTAACTTAAAAGAATCTCTCAATAAAAATCCAATATTAATTAATAAATTCTATAAAAAAAATTAAATATCTCTTATTATTTTTAAAATATTTAAATTTATAATGATTCAAATTTTCTTAGATTCCATCATAAGAAAATGATATATTCCCATTTCTTAGATATTAAAAAGTAATTGGTACATTTGTGAATCCAAATGATATGACATTGTATTTAAAATACTTATACTTGATTAGAACTACAATCTTCTATTCATATTTTTTTTTAATACATACCAAATTATATACTCATTGTAGTTTTATTTTGATATAGATCTTGGTTTGATTCAATTAATTGAGAAGTTTAGATTTTAAAAGTAAAGAATACTTATTCTTTATGATAATCTTCTTAAATCTTCAACAATCTAAACATATTTATAATAATCCATCTTTTTTCTTCACAAATAAGATATTAGTTAGATTCTCATTAATATACTCATTGAATTCAATCAATTTTTTTTATGATAAGTTATAAATTGATCCAAATGGCTATTAAGTTCTTTCTTGAAGGTCAATTAAACAATCATAAAAAAATATTTAGAAGAATATTTATACTATTTTTTAAAAAAAATTCTTAATAATATTTATATTGAATTAAAATGCCATTTAAAGTCTTTTTTACCATTAGAAATGAGTGTGACATAAATAATAAAAAGATAACTCTTCTTTTACAATACGCATAAAAACTCTTGTACATACAAGCAAGTATTTGGTTGTATTAAACTTATGACTTTTTATTTGGTTAGCAAAAGTCTTCATTATATTCTATAAAAAATTAGTATTATAAAAAAATTAATATATTTAAAGATTATCTTTTTTTAGCTAAAATAAACCTAAAATTATTTGATTACAAAAAGATCTAATAATATTTAATGTTACTCAACTATTGTGACTATTTATTATTACATCTATAAGAATAGTTTCATAGATAATATCTTTAGAAGAACAAAAACAACCATCTATGACTTCTATATGTATATATTTAATTTTCTTCATTAAAAGTATTCAATATCATATAACAAAGTCTTTATCAATAACTTAATTAATTAACTTAAATCTAAGAAAGCAAAGACTTTGAATTTTAAGGTTGTAAACAAACTTCTTTTGTAAAATAAGGTGAAGATTTTGAAGAAAAAATAGAAAATTTATTAGGTGTTGTACAAGATTCCAACCACATGATTTCTTTTGTAGTTGGATAAATTTGTTTTTCAGCAAATTATCTTCTTTTACAACTATTCTCTTTATTTTATAATTGCATTACTTTTATGAATAATTTTGAATCATATATTTTTATTTTTTTTATAATATATGCATATTTTTTTTATTATATTTTCTTTTTTTTTTATTTAATAAGAGGTTGAAAATTTATTACATCAATTTGCATGTCTTTCACTTTTAAAGATATGCATTAAAAAGATATTGGTACTACCATTGAATTATAAAAATATTAAGGTCTACTTATGTTGCTCTTAAATAAAAATTCAAGAAGCCAATTGTCATACTTTATGGCAAAATTAGTTGCTTGATTTCATATTTGAGGATCATATAAATTGTGCATCAATTTTTTATTTTATATTATAATCTTTAAAAAAATTAATTGATGAGTGCAATATCATCACACTTATTAATTTCAAGTTGTTAGAAGTGTAAAGCATATAATATTATTGAAGAATTTTCTTGAAACAAAATCTAAATCTTATTAGTTGTAATACAAATTGCATCATGCTCTCCATACATAGATCAAAATTTTACCAAAAAGGCCTTTAAATTATCTAATATTAAATCATATTATTTAAAAAAAGATATAAATCATTATAAAAATAAATTTGAAAGAAATATTCTAATTAATATAACTTGTGATCATGAAATTGGATAACTTTGAGATAGAAGCTTAATTATATATTGTACTTGATTAATGAATCTTCAAAACTTTCATCTTGTACCATCAAACTTCTCATATAAAGCAACTCCTGGTTTTGTGATGCTTAAATGATCTTCTACCATATGAAAAATTATATGATTTAACATAGATTTTGAAGCAATTCTAATCATTTTTATATTTTCACTTTTAACCAATCATGTTCTTCTTTGTGGTGGTGAATTGAATTGATGTATTGCAAGCATTAACTCTCTCATTTGTTCTTACATTTGTGCCATTGCATTCTTTATTTCAATAAGCTCTTCTAAAATAATATAATAAAAATAAAAGTGTTTGATATTACTTAAGAGAAGTAAAAGAAAAGACTCAAGATCAAAGAAAAAATCTAAGAAAAATATAAGTAAGTTTAGGAGTGGATAATTTACAACTTCTAATATGCTCATGTTTTATCAAGAAAAAGAGTCAATTTATTTTAAATAATAATAATAAAATTCTAATATTATAAGTGTACTCTTGTTAATTTATTAAAAATAAAAACTTAAAGAATGTAATTAAACAAGTGAGATGCATCTCAAAGAAAAATGATATAAAGCAAATAAAAAAGTATGTATATTCAAAAATAAAAATAAATGGAATGACTATTGTCATAGATAAGAAAGTTATAGACTCTTGAAATTAAATTAAAAGCAAGAAAAGAATTGATAAGAGTGATGAAGGCCTCATTCTTGTCTTTGTATATACCACTTAATTAGAGGCTCTATAGTGACATTCTATAGAACTTCCAACATGTGTCCAACTTGCAAGACATGTGTCTAACGTAATACAAGTTTCTTATACTTATACCACATGGTCAACTTGTACGAAAAGAGGCCAACATATCCAACACATAGCCAATGTGTTTAACCAAGTTTTCAACCTACCAATTACTTATAGACACATATAAAATCAAATTTGTCTCTATGAAAGCTTTTAAGAAGATTTTCCATAAAATATTATATAATTAAACTACTTTTACTTATTTCTACACAATTCATTTTATCTAGATGATTACTATGTTTGGTTATATTTGTGACATAAGCTACTACTAATTGCAAATATTATATTAAAATTTATATTATATTCAAATTGTTGGTTGCAAGACTAATTGCACAATGATCTATGGACTCCAAAGTTAATTGATTTATAATAGTTAACTTGGCAATTAACTAATGAAAAAATTGATACAATCTATTAGTTATTAATCAAATCATGAATATTTCTAATGAATTTTAAATTAAATGTTTAAAATTATATTATAACTAAAAGATTTAAATATTAATATCAAACATTCCTATCGACAATAAATATATTGCTTCCATTTCTTATATGCAATAAATTTACTAAAATAATAATAAATGTTTGAGGCCATAAAAACTATTCATGATGAATATATAATCCACTTTAACTCAAAACCACCAAAATTTATGCTAGACAAAGGAAAATTAAAGATCATTGATTTTGGCTTAGCAAAATCTATTTAAAATAATACCACCAACCTTCAGTGGGATTAATGATATTAATAACATTAATGACAAATAAATACATAGGATTTTTTAAAGATGTAAAATCTTAGGTAGAATTGTGCATGTTTAGAACAGCAGGGTATAAATATCAAAAATATTTTGGTAATGGAGTAGGATAGCCTTGCACACAAACAAAATAACCCAACCTTACACACAAACAACATCATGCAAAAACACTACACAAACAAACGACACTCATATGATACAAATACATGCAACATTCAAAATACAAACATACATAGAATACGAAAACAAGGCATGCCCAAAGCAATCCGTCGGAGACAGTTGTATTTGAGCAAAGTTGAAAGCAATATTAGGCGAAAGAATTATCTAGAGTTGCCCTCAATCAAAGCTATAGATTTGCACTCAATCCATCTGCATACAATCCCCTTCTAGAGGTTACTCAGTCAAACTATTTGCACACAAACCTATGGGTATTAAAGAAATTACAAAAAAAATAAAAATAAATAAATAAACATATATATATATATATATATATATTTTATTATTATTATTTTTTTGTTGTTGCTCTTGTGTTTCTTCCGTCGTCGCAAAACCTAATCCAGTTGCATGATTTCTGTGACAAGGGCGAAGGGGCTGGTCGCCATGACTATGCGCAGGCTCCTCACGTCCGCCAGCTTCGCCTTCTCTGCCGCACCTCAATTGGGTCATTCCGAGAATTGGCTGAAGAAGACGACCACGACTACGAGGCTTGGCGAGATCGATTAAGAATCCGGCATTCCTGGAGCACATCTCAAGCGTAAGGCGAGAGAGAGTTTCTGTGCTTGCGTTAGATTCGGAACTGACTTCTCTGTTTTCGTGGCTGTTTTATTCACAATTCACCGTGAAGAATTACGTTCGAATTTTCATATTTGTAACCTTGACTGTCGCTTATGCCTTAATTCTTACCAGTCCTGCATTCTCCTTCATGCTTCCATTTCCTAGCTCTGTTCAAGTTCCTGCTCCGGGATTTTTTCCTTGTGTGGGGTCGCTGTACAGTTATGTTCTAGTTTAAGTTTTGGCCAGATTTATGGTTTAAATGTAAGAGAAATTATCGCCTTACATACCTGAGTTAAAATGGAATTTAGGGAAAATGACAGGTTATTATCTATTATCCTTCCCTGTTGTACAACACAATCAGGGCTTGAATCATCGAGATGGAAACTCAGCTTTGGATCCGTTATCAAAGAAAAAAGAGTCCGTTGTGTGCGTCTCTTTAAGTTGACCGGCGCTTGGCCTTTGAATGTTGTTGTGAGGAGTATTGCTCCGAATCGCTTTGTTGATAATTTGATGTAAGATTATTTTATGCACTTTTGTTTAGTCCCCTGTTTCTCACGAATTATTATCGGTAGAATAAGAGCCTTGCACACCAATTTTTCCAGATAACTGCCCAATGGCACGGAAATTCACTGATCTGTTATGTTTTCAGACGAGAGATTCCCATGATGCTGTACATCAGCAGGAGATCCTTATCACAGTGTGGGTGCAGCTTCTATGAATTTCAACTCGAAGGAAATGGCGGTGGAGTTTGCTGAGAAGTATGGCTGGGAATGTTCAGTGAGCTATTTTGGTCGTCACCTCCTTTTGTAATCCAGGGCAACATGCATGGGATGAGTTTCAGGGTTCAGTATGCTCACATCAAGACAGGCTACTAATTGTTTCTCAAGTCTGTGAGGGTTCACTATTCCTCCCGCATTCCCTTCTAAAGATCTTTCTCTTGCTTTACATGTTATTTGTACTCCATCACGGATTTCGAAGCCTTCGTTTGTTTCGGTGTGGATTTGGCACAGGTTGAGCACGTTTCCACACATGACAATCTCATTAGCTCTTGTGCAAGTTCACCCCTTCAATGTTGAGATAAATTAGACTATTGGGGGTCTTGTTGGAACATATTTTTCGTGGATTGTATTGCAGGTTCGAGAGCCTCACCACTCGGTAATTAAGCCAAATGCACATCCCGACAATTCCAAATAGAAAGGCCCAGCCCTGGAGTGCGATTAGGTTTAAATGTCTATGTATCGATTTCAATTAAGGTCTTATTTAGCACCTCGGATTTTACGATTCGGAGAGGTTTAACTATTAAAACCACAGCATTTTTTTTGTCCAGTAGAGGAATTAAAAGCAAGTTTACTGCCTATAGTGTCTGCTATGCGGATATACTTGAAGTTCTTCGTTTAGTCGATGTGTGCTATCCAAAATGGTAGCAACTCAAAAGTCTTTTGTAGGACCTCAAGAATCTGACTTTGTGGAAAGATGTGCCACTGTACTTTACATGTTGGGGACTAAACCACATGATTGAAGGATATAATTGAAGGGCCATGTGATTGATGACGTGGTTGGATTACTCTTGGATTCACTAGCTGTCTGAAGTGAAATCTCCCCAATTGCAATAAGCATTTTCCTTAATGAGTTTGATCGATGGCATTGTATTCTGCTCCTGTCTTTTGTACTGTATCAGACGTTAGAGGGTGACGAATTTCGGGTGGAAACGACCTTTTGATTGATGACATCCAGACATCCAAACTGTGCGTCTCCACTGAAGTACATGGCTAGTCGATTTATGCGCTGCATTACGGCATAACCATCTTAAACTAAGTATTTAGAATGCCACTCTCACCGAAATGTTTCTGTTCTTCAACCATTGTGAGATGTTGGTGTGGTTGATTTCTGATTCACAACTTTTAAATGCAACTTTTCTAATTCTGATCGTTGACCATGGATTCATTTGTGCACCATCTTATCGCTGTAACAACAGCTGTCTAGGTGCTCGAGGTCCAGACCTGCTCTTCATCTTTCATTCTTTCTGTTAGCTGTTGCAACGCATGCAAGTGGAAAATCCAAGATGAGGTTTATGTAGTTCTGCTACTCGTATTAACACCCTTTGAACATTCGTGAAGTGGAAATGTAGCAACAGTTGAGAAATTAGGGTTTCCTCAAAATCGCCCATGTATATCCCTGTAGGATGAACAACATAATTAAAAACCAGGTTTCCATGTTCCAAAACGGTCTTCAGCAGAACTTCACTACACGCTGATGTATCCAAATTAGGTCAGCCTGTACAGCTTCTGTGCATTGATTTGTTGCTAAGATTGTCGATGGTTTACTCTTCCACATTGTGAGTCGCCTAGATGGCAATAACCCACAGAAATTTTTCTTCAGAACCCCGAAAAACACAGATGCAGAATGAAGAATGAATTGCATGCAGCAGCACGTGTGCTCTGTTCGGAGTAGTATGTACTTAACCTTGCTTTTATGACATGTCAGGCTAAAATTTGCTCGAGGTATTTAAAAAAAAGCCCCAACAATGGTGTCGTGTGTCCAGTTCGAATCGGTATTTTTGGTGTTCGGAACTCAAAGCGGCAGTCTATTTATGTATTACATTGGCGACAACTCTCCCACGTTTATTGAAGAGCTGGTTCATTCAGAAGGTGGCATCACGAGGTTGATCCAACACCCACCCATTTCGTTTTTGGTTTTTTTTTTGGTTTTTTTTGGTTTTTTTTGGTTTTTTTTTTTTAATATCATATCCTAATCCTGTATCATACTCCATACTGCTTTACATTCTATGGATAACACAGAATATCTGATTCTAGCTTATCATCCAAGTGACTGCAAAACTGTGCAGAATATGGGTGAACAAACTAGGCACTCGAATAATCTTCGAGGATGAGAGACACGTCGTATATTTCTACAACCCACTTAAACATCAGGTATCCTCTTCTCACAACACTCACTCACTCACAGACTTGTTTGAAATTCTATATCTCTTGGCTCCCCTTTTCAATGCTTAAACCTAATTTTTTTCTTCCATAGTCTGAACTATCAATCCAGCAAATTGGGTGAGAGTGAGAATTGTATTTTCTGTGTGTGTGTGTGTGTGTGTGTGTGCAAAATGTGTGCAGATTCAGCAGATTTCAGCTTCCTCGGGGCAGATGGAGGAAGCGAACTGGAACCACTGGGACCCACATATCTTTTCCTTAACAAAACCTGCATCGAACCATGCTTATCTTTACACTTCTGTCACCAAAGGGGTCAAAAAGTTGCCTCATTCTGTTGAACAGCTTAGTCTGGCAGCTAATGTTGTGGTGTCCAAGGTGTCACACTTCTTCACATCTTTGTCATTCTTTTGTTGAAACAAATAAGAAACTGATAATTAAACACATGTGTATTTATGGTGTATTTGTTGGATGACAATGAATTCTTTCCAACATGTTTTGAGCATTTTGTAGTTTTATCTTTAATAAATGGATATTTGCCTACTTAGTGTCAAAAACTGTAAGGGAAACTTGTCAAATGATGGGTCATATTTTGTTATTGTCTATAAAGAGATGGGGAGTTAACTTGATAATATATAATAAAAAGAATACAAAAAATACATAATAAGAATATATCTTTCTAATATGCACTTTTTTTCAAAGTGGGTTTTACTTTTAAAAAAGATGTAAATATACTAGAATCTACATTGTGAATGTAATTTTTAAAACCTAAACAAGATCAATGCATATGTAGGAGTGCCCTATTGAACAAACAAAAGCAAAGGCCATGTTTGAAGATAACTTGAGCATGGCTTACTTTGACAAAGCTTGGATTATTGCTACAATGATGAAGGACAATATGGTATGAATGGATATGCAACATTACTTATATATTCATATATTAAATTAGCAATAATGCTTGAATTTCACTTACTAGGGATTTGTAAAAAAAAATCAGATATGGGAAACATTGGCAGGGATGGCTTTGAAGCATTTGGAGCTTCAAATGGCAATGAAAGCATGTGAAGAATCAAAGAATGTTGTGAATTTATCAAGATTACACCACATGGAAGATGTTGAAGACAAAAATTTATTGTCAGCTAAAGTGTTGAAACTGTTGCATGAGTACACAGATGCATTTGTAATTCCCACCCATCCTTTGGAATTCATCATAAAATCCCAATTTTATATATATGCCTATAAATTTTGAATATTAAAACATTTTTAAAATTTTAATAACATCTAAATATGTGAAAACAAAAGAGTGTGTGCAGAAATGTTATAAAAAATCATTACAAAATGAATGTGCTTGCAAGTTATTGTGCCATCTTCAAAACTGGAATCAGGTGCTCCAACAGTTTAAGCTTAGTATTTTACACAATGAGAATCATATTTTATATATTAGGTTGAGGAATCCTCATCATATGTATGTATGTATGTATATATATATATATATATATATATATCCAAAATTATAACAACAGTATTAAGACCATTCATAATGATATGTCCATCTTTGCTAAATGGGATGCCAGGTGGTGGACACCATTCAAGCAGATCCAAGTTTTTCTTCTAGCTTGCCTACAATCTATGGCCATTTTTTGGAAGTCCATGATAAAAAACAATTAGCCTTTTCAAGCTATGAAAAAAAGTTGAATTGTTGTGATACAAAACCAACTCAAAAAACTTTTGCACAAGTAAAGTTAAAAATTAATGCAAAATTAAAAATATGCATGTATATACACATCAAATATATATATCTATAGATATATATATCCTTTA